GTTTATTGATTGTAGATTTGTTTGTTTCGTCCTGCTTTTTTGTTTTATTTGGTTATGTCTGAGCAGGCAGGCTGTGCGTTCTTTGTTTTCCCGCCTGTGGGCACAATACTTTTCACCTCCTTCTCCAATGGGCAGTGTCAGTCACTCAGGTATGGTATAGCAGGACAGGTCCATCTGAAGGGGAGTTGCCGGGATGGGTTGTTTGTGGCACGTACCAGGGCTGACAGTGTGGACCGGGAATCAGTGCAGGGTAGGTTCCAGTAGGCCGTGCCTGTGCTGCTTCGGAGTCTGATGTTCAGCACACGGTGCAGGTAGGCAGGAAGGAGGGGGTAGAATGTAATGTATAGAGCTAAGACTGGTATGGGGAAGATGAGAGAGTGGGGAGAGGAGAGAGGAACAGGAGCCAAAAACATACTCACAAACAAAAAAGAGTGCTAAGGGAGCTTGCTATTGGAGTGGAGAGATGAGAGACTGAGAAATGGAGAAAAACAAAAATCAAAAAAGAAGAAAAAGGATAAAAGAAAAAAATGAATAAATCGAGAAACTGGAAGTGAAGAAAGACAAAAAGCAATAAGAGAGAGAAGAAAACAAAACAAAGAAACAAACAAAAACCCCAAAAACAAAACAAAAAAATGTCCCCAGGGATGTCCTTGTGCGTCTGCGCAGAATAGGGGAGTAGCTTCCAAGCCGCGTGGTACTGCCTGGCTAGAAGGGGCTCCCAAGCCGAGAAAAGAAAAAGAAAACGAAAGAAATTAAAACAACAAATCAAAGCAAACAAACAAAAAAGTGCTGGGGGTCCCACCAGCGTGTGACACGGGCTGGAAAGCAGTTTCACAGTCGAGTGGTGTTTTGCAGCCTTTCAGGAAGAAGCAAAGATGGCATATGGAGCCAAGTATTAGAGAGAAAGGAGTGGTAGGTGGTAAGAGGTAAGGAAGAAATCTAAAGAAGCGAAAAAAAGCAACACCAGCGGCCAACAAAAAGCACTCAGGGATCTGGCCAGTGAGGGCGGGTGGAATCCAAGTGACACCAGAGTGAAGCTGGTGCTTCCCAGCCAAGAGACTGTGGCTGCAGGAAGCAGAGGAGGCCGAGTGGGGGTGAAGAAGGGTGGAGGGTGGGAAAGCATATATCGCTGGTTACCGGTTGTTCTTTCTCCTGCTGGAAGCTCCTTGAAGTTGCTTTCTCGTATCCCCTGTTTGCTGATTTCCGATAGGAGTCCAAGATGGTGGATCCATGCTGCGGTAGCTGGTAGGGGACCTCTGCTTGTATCTCTCCTCACTCTCTGTTGTTGGTCAGTTTCTTGTTCCATTTGGTGCTTGGCTGAGTTCAAAAATATGGAATGCTTCATGAATTCGTGTGTCATCCTTGCGCAGGAGCCATGCTAATCTATCTGTATCGTTCCAATTTTAGTATATTTGCTGCAGAAGCGAGCACTCTTCTGATTTTTTAAAAAATAATATTTTATTGTGCTTTAGGTGAAAGTTTACAGTGCAAATTAGTTTCTTATTGAAAAATTTACTTGCAAATTGTTTTGTGTCATTGGTTTCAGTGCCCACATTGTGTTAGCACTCTCCCTCTTTCCCTTTCCACCCGGTGTTTCCCATGTCCATTTGTTAGTTTTCCTATCCCTTCCTGCCTTCTCATCTTGCCTTTGGTCAAGAGTTGCCCATTTTGTCTTGTACTAAGAAGCACATTCCTCACACGTGTTCTTGTTTGTTTTATGGGCCTGTCCAATTGTTGCCTGAAAGGTGGACTTCGGGACTGGCTTCAGCTCTAAGTTAGCAGGGTGTTTGGGGGCCAGTCTCTGTCATACCAGTAAGTCTCGTCTTTTTTGGTGTGTGAACTTGAATTTTGTTCTGCATTTTTCTCCCGCTCTGACCTTCTATGGTGATCCCTGTCAGAGTGGTCGGTGGTGGTAGCTGGGCAGCATCTAGTTCTTCTGGGCTCAGGCTGGTGAAGGCTGTGGTTCATGTGGTCTGTTAGTCCTTTGGACTAATACTTTCCTTGGGTCTTTGGTTTTCTTCATTTTCCTTTGCTGCAGATGCAACGTGACCATCTTAGATGGCTGCTCGCAAGCTTTTAAGACCCCAGATGCTATTCACCAAAGTCGGATGTAGAACATTTTTTTTTATGAACTATGTTATGCCAGTTGACCTAGACGTCCCCCAAGACCATGGTCGCCAGCCCTCAGCACCAGCAACTGGGTCCCTCAGGGTGTTTAGATGTGTCTAGGAAGCTTCTATGACTTTGTCTTAGTCAAATTGTGCTGATGTCCCCTATATTGTATGTTGTCTTTCCGGTCACCAAAGTTACTACCTGTGTACTATTTAGTTAGCGATTTCTCCTCCCCACCTCTCCCCTCCCTCGTAACCATCAGAGATTGTCCTTTTTTCTATGAGTAAACCTTTTCTTGAGTTTTTATAATAGTGGTCTCATACACTATTAGTCCTTTTGTGACTGACTTATTTCACCCGGCGTAATGTCCTCCAGATTCATTCGTGTTGTGAGATATTTCGCAGATTTCATCGTTGTTCTTTATTGTTGGATAGTATTCCGTTGTGTGTATGTACCATAATTTGTTTATCCATTCATCTGTTGATGGGCACTTAGATTATTTCCATCTTTTTGCTGTTGTGAATAATGCTGCAATGAACATTGATGGGTTTGCATATGTCTATTCATGTGATGGCTCTTATTTCTCTAGGATATATCCCCAGGAATAGGATTGCTGTATTGTATAGTATTTCTATTTCTATCTTTTTACGAGGTGCCATATAATTTCCCATAGTGGTTGTACCATTTTACATTCCCACCAGCAGTGCAGAAGAGTTCCAGTCTCCCTGAAACTTCTCCAACATTTATTATTTTCTGGTTGTTTTTTTTTTTTGTTTGTTTTTGTTTTTGATTAGTGCCAGTGTTGTAAGGGTGAGATGGTATCTCATTGTAGTTTTGATTTGCATTTCTCTAATGGCTAATGATCACCAGCATTTCCTCATGTGTCTGTTAGCTGTCTGAATGTCTTCTTTGGTAAAGTGTCTGTTCATATCCTTTGCCCGGTTTTTAATTGGATTATTTTTCTTTTTGTTGTTGAGGTGTTGAAGTATTTTGTAGATTTTAGAGATTAGACCCTTGTCGAATTTGTCAGTAGCCCAAAATTTTTTCCCGGTCTGTAGGTTCTCTTTTTGCTCTTTTGGTGAAGTCGTTTTTTTTTTTTTTAAATTGTGCCTTAGGTGAAAGTTTGCAGCTCAAGTTAATTTTGTCATTTAAAAATTTATACACATATCATTTTGTGACATTGGTTGCAGTTCCCACTCCGAGTTCCCTGTGTCCGTTTGTCCTGTTCCTGCCCCTTCCTGTCTTCTCATCCTGCTTTTGGACAGGAGCTGCCCATTTGATCTTTTATATCTGATTGAACTGAGAAGCATATTCCTCACATGTATTATTTTTTGTTTTATATTCTTGTCTAATCCTTTCCTGAAGAGTAGGCTTCGGGAATGGTTTCAGTTTTGGGTTAATAGAGTGCCCGGGGATCATAGTTTCAGAGGTTCCTCCAGTCTCTGTCAGAGCATTAAGTCTGGTCTTTTTACATGAATTGGAGTTCTGGTCTGCATTTTTCTTCCACTCTGTCTGGGACTCTCTGTTGTGTTCCCTGTCAGGGCAGTCATTGGTGATAGCTGGGCACCATCTAGTTCTTCACATCTCAGGCTGGTGAAGTCTCGGGTTTACTTGGTTCTTTAGTCGTTTGGGTTAGTATTTTCCTTGTGTCTTTGGTTTTATTCATTCTTCTTTACTTCAAGTGGGATGGCGCCAATAGATGTATCTTAGATGGCTGCTTGCAAGCTTTTAATTGGTGAAGTCTTTTGATGAGCATAAGTGTTTAATGTTCAGGAGCTTAAAGTTATCTAGTTTGTCTTCTGGTGTTTGTGCTTTGTTAGTTATGGTTTCTATTCTGTTTATGCCATGTATTAGGGCTCCTAGAGTTGTCCCTCTTTTTTCCCATGATCTTTATCATTTTAGATTTTGTATTTAGGTCTTTGATCCATTTTGAGTTAGTTTTTGTGTATAGTGTGAAGTATGGGTCCTGTTTCATTTTTTTACAGCTGGACATCCAGTTTTGTCAACACCATGTGTTAGAAAGACTGTCTTTTCTCACATTTAATGCATTTTGGTTTTTTTGTCAAAGATCAGCTGACCATAGGTAGATGGATTTATGTCTGGGTTCTTGATTCTGTTCCACTGGTCTGCGTGTCTGTCGTTTTACCAGTACCAGGCTGTTTTGACTACCGAAGCTGTATAGTAGATTCTGAGATCAGTTAGTGTGAGGCCTCCTACTTTGTTCTTTTTCTTTAGTGTTGTTGTTAGGTGCCATCGAGTTGGTTCCAGCTCACAGCGACCCTGTAGGACAGAGTAGAACTGCCTCATAGGGTTTCCAAGGGGCAGCTGGTGGATTCAGACTGCCGACCTTTTGGTTAGCAGCTGAGCTCTTAACCATTACACCACCAGGGCTCCTTTTGTTCAGTAATGCTCTGCTTATCCGGGACCTTTTTCCTTTCCGTGTAAAGTTGATGGTTAGTTTTTCTGTCTTGTTAAAGAATAATGTTGGTATTTGGATTGGGATTGCATTATATCTGTAGATCACTTTGGGTAGAATTGACATTTTTACAATTTTGAGTCTTTCTGTCTGTGAGCATTGTATGTTTTTCCGTTTATGTAGATCTCTTTTGGTTTCTTGCAGTAGTGTTTTGTACCTTTCTTTGAATAGGTCTTTTACATTCCCGATTAGATTTATTCCTAAGTATTTTATTTTTTAGGGGCTATTATAAGTGGTATTGCTTTCTTGCTTTCCTTTTTGTAGTTCTCTTTATTGGTGTATAGGAATCCAACTAATTTTTGTATGTTTATCTTGTATACTGCTACTCTGCTGAATCTTTCTTTTAGTTCCTGTAGTTTTCTTGTGGAGTGTTTAGGGTTCTCTGTAGTATCATATCATCTAGAAATAGGGATAGTTTTACTTCTTCCTTGCCAATTTGGATGTTTTCAGCCTCTATCCAGTGAGAATGTTGGCTGTTGGCTTTGTGTAGATACCCTTTATCATGTTGAGAAATTTCCCTTCTATTCCTATTTTAATGAGAGTTTTTTTCAGGAATGGGGTTTGGACTTTATCAAATGCCTTTTCTGTGTTGATTGAGAGGATCATGTGGTTTTTTTTTTCTTTTGTTCTGTTTCTGTGGTGGATTACATTGATTGATTTTCTAATGTTGAACCATGTTTGCATACCTGGTATGAATCCCACTTGGTTATGGTGTGTTATTTTTTTTGATATGATGCTGAATTCTGTTGGCTAGAACTTTTTTGAGAATTTTTGCATCTATATTCATGTAATTTTTTTTTTTTTTTTGTGGTATCTTTGCCTGGCTTTGGTATCAGGGTTATGCTGGCTTCTTAGAATGAATTTGGAAGTGTTCCTTCCTTATCCTTGCTTTGAAATAGTTTAAGAAGTACTGGTGTGCACTCTTCTCTGAATGTTTGGTAAGATTCTCCAATAAAGCTGTCTGGGCCAGGGCTTTCTTTTGTTGGGAGTTCATTACTACCTCTTTGATCTCTTCTCTTGTTTTGGGTCTGTTCAGATTTTCTATCTCAGTTTGTGTTAGTTTAGGTAGGTAGTGTGTTTCTCGAAATTTGTCCATTTTCTCTAGGTTTTCAATTTATTGGCGTACAGTTTTTCTTTTATTGTACTTTAGGTGAAAATTTACAGCTTAAGTTAATCTATCATACAAAATTTTACACACATATTGTCATGTGACACTAGCTGCAATCCCTACAATGTGACAGCACACTGCCCCTTTCCACCCCAGGTTTCCTGTGTCCATCCGACCAGCTCCTGTCCCTTCCTGCCGTCTCATCCTGCCTCTGGACAGGAGCTGCCTCCTTGGTCTCGTGTATCTGCTTGAACTAAGAAGCACACTCTTCATGAGTATTATTTTACATGTCATAGTCCAGTCTGATCTTTGTCTGAAGAGTGGTCTTCAGGAATGGTTTTAGATCTGGGTTAACATAGTGTCCGGGGGCCATGGCTTCACGGTTTCCTCCAGTCTCAGTCAGATCATTAAGTCAGGTCTTTTTATTTGAATTTGAGTTCTGTTCCACACTTTTCTCCTGCTCCATCAGGGACTGTCTGTTGTGATCCCTGTCAGGGTGGTCACTGGTGGTAGCCAGGCACCAGCTAGTTCTTCTGGTCTCAGGATGATGGAGTCTCTGGTTTATGTGGCCCTTTGGTCTCTTGGGCTAATATTTTCCTTGTGCTGTTAGTGTTCTTCATTTTCCTTTGCTCCAGGTGGATTGGGACCAATTGATGTCTCTTAGATGGCCGCTCGCAAGCTTTTAAGATCCCAGAGTTGGCGTACGATTTTTCATAGTATTCTGTTATGAT